TTAATTTTGCCACTGGGTAGATGGATGAGGTCCACTCAGGAGCTCCTGGTCCTTCCTTCTGGCGGAACGACATGAGAGTACTGCTTCTCGCTGACAACTTAATTCATTACGAAGGAGTTCGTCTATCTCTTGTTTGCGAAATATTCTGGGAAAACACTTAATCAAATATACTTTTCAAAGATTTTTTGAATACCTGCGTATAACATTACCCTAATTAAATGATCAATTAGGTCACTGTCACTGCTAACCCATTATTGAGCAGGATTTCATGAGAAGTAGTTGGAAAGCCATACCCTCTACATCAATTAGTTTCCGGGTAAGTGGATAAATGTTGTTCCCGCTTTCATAGACTCACACTGCACTGCGGCTCTTCCGCTCTCGCCGGGGCTCTGACTTCCTTGCCGCGCCTGCTACTCTCTGTGTATCTATGAAACCCTCTCTTTATCGGCATGTCTCGTCAAAATGATGTAAAGCTCTCACCCGGACAGCACACATCACGAAATGTTCCTTCTCCCTCACACTGATCCACCATCGGTTGAAACCACTCCGTTCGTTTGTTAGTTCTTATCATCACATCCGGTCACATCCTTCCAACTGCTTATAATCACTCATTTCTTTTAGGTACCTTGTTCATTTTCATGTTCGCACAGACGAATTACATAACATTGACTAATTGTCGTGTTTTCCCAATCATTTCATCATAGAGCCAATCAATATGAAGCCAACCCCAAGATCCCGAACTAGAATCGCGCGCCTAAACGTATTAATCGAAATTTATGAAAAATACTGATCAGCAACAGTTACGAAAGTTTGTTGTAGTGCAACTACTTAAAATAACCAGCACCGTCACTCGTAACATGCCTTCTTTGTGAAACGCGGAAAATGTTAGTAAATCAATGCAAAAAATTAAAAAAAATTCTCTGGCGCAGCAGACATACATGAAATCTTTGATCTAGAAGTCGTGTAGTATCAAAAGGCACGGACTGTATTTATTTGATGTTCAAACTCTTCTTTGGGCATCGTAGTTCTGTCTTTTGCCTTGAACTACACCACGATTCTTTGGTTCTCGAAATGGGTACCCATCGGGATAGCGTTCCAAGCACCCCACTTGCCCCCTTGTAGCAGCAGTTCCGGGGCCAAGCATGCCGTGTAGAGTTATTGCCAACCTAAGAGCGAAACGTCAGGCTGCGTCCCAAAAAAGCTGATTAAAGATCATGAGGGCTTTGCTTGCTTTTTTTGGCTAGCAGAACAGCTGCTTACCTCTAGGATATCTTGAGCTGTCGACGATAATAACATCTACAAAAAAAAACCTTTATTCCCAAGTGTGACCCGTTCTTATTTTCCCCCGACTCGCATTTTCCTCGGACATATATAAAAAAATGCTTCAGGCTTTCTGCTTCCCAGCGGCTTCACTCATGAACGCTCTCTGGATTATGAAGCTAGCGCACGTTTGGCGAAAAATGGGCTTATTCCTCTAAGGGAATGCATATGAATTCACTGAAGCGTTTCTTCGATCTCAGAATTCGTAATAAACTTTTTTCTACCACATATGTAGCGCAAGCATTCCCTTTTTTCCCACTGCCATGCAGAATTGGCGCCATGGTTGCACTACGCGTGAAAAAAACGAGGCCAGAAAGTCCTTCAATAAATCTTCCATGACTATAATTATTAGACAGGGTTCAGCATACACCTACACTAACTTTTATCTTCATCAAATTCAATTTCCGCTATACCTTCCGCTAGAAAAAAAAGGTAGGTATTTTACTGTTCAAGTGGTTGCTGACTACATATATACAGTATCGAAGACATTTGGAAACTCGCTGAAAACTACACTTTTTGTTCTCTTAGTAGACTTTTTTACCTTTACCTTATGTACTGAAAATTTTGCTTGTATAATATTATGCTGAGAAGAGCTGCTAGGCCATAATTGTTATAAGACCACGATTGAATACCTCGCAATGTGCAAGTGAGAGACTGGTTCCAGCGCTCAGGTTTCAATTACCCGCTGATGAAGTGGCCGAGCCATTCTTTGGTCCTCTATGCTGTAGAGCACCTTGAGAAAGCCCTGGAGCACCAGTGACCAGGAAGAAGCTCACCCCATCTGCGCATAGCGAGCAGAATAAAATCGAGCACGTGTTCACACCATTAGAGGCCTATAAAGTCAATGTTATTGAGCTGTCAGGCTGCTAACAATAAGACTGCCTCTTTCCTTCGAACTTTCTCAATATTTCTCTTTCGGTTGATTTGTCAAGGAGGATAGTGAATTCCCATTTTCAATGATCTTTCTTCAAGCCGTATGGTTAGCCACCTAGTATAGCGAGTTCAGCATTGAACTGTTTCCTTCTCTCGCGTTTCTGCTGATTGTTGTATGCATTAAGTTTAGAAGGTTTGTAGAAACTGCCTAACAGAGCGGCTTTCCGACTCTTTTCAGAATTTTGTTTTCGGTGGTCTACTATAATAGTTCGAATTCTATGAAATGCTTGGTCCTTTTGAATCACATCTCTAGTTCCGGGTTATTTATTCGTTGCGCTGCTTCCCATATGCTCAGTGGGTTTGTCAATATTGCTGATTTCAACATGTCATTGAAACAGCTTCAGCTTTTTAAACTGTTTTAGCCGGGGATGGAAATTTCACAATACTTAACTACACCTATTTATCTTCTTGCTGGGGTGTATTTGCCGGGAACTTTTTCACGTTCTCATATTTCACTGAAGAGACTTGCTCATCATGTCGAATCTTCCGGTCGACATCGATGACATTGCCGCTGCGGCTGAAAAAGAAACGTCGGCACTTCTCTGAAGTTATCGAATTTCAACCTTTCATGATCGCTTCTTATCGTAACACTTCTCCTATCTCATTTTTCTTCAGCAATTACTGACCTCAAATATGATTCTTACTCTGAAAAACCGCAAGATTGTAGTGTCCAGCTTCTCTCTTTATGAAGCCTTGGCATTGCTGTTGTGACGTTTTCGAATTTCTTCTGTGCTATTGATATTGTTAAATAGAAATTTGCTATGGCCTGAAGTTTCTTATAGATCATCTTAATCAGAGGCCGAGCCCATCACAGCGGGAGAGGGAAAGTGCGGGGCTTTAATAATTGTTAAATCCTACTATATATTATTCGAAACTACTATATATTATTATATTATTTCGGTTGTTCGAAAAGTCCTGCGACACTTTGACCAAATTTTTCGAACTAAATTTCTGGTCAGTAAAGGACATCTCCAATCTACAAGGTAACCGCAGTTGATGACTAGGACTAGTGCCTTTCTTTTGCACAGCTTCTCATTTCCATTCTCATAGAACTACGGCAACTGTGGTAAAAAGAAGAGGTGGACCTCATTCTCGAGTTGAGGTTGATTTTCGGAACTTTTGCTTTTGAAGGATGCGATAGTGACCAAAGGAGGTGGTAATTAGAGGCTGCTAACTTTGTTAAATAACCTGAGTACGGTCGCATTCTCTGATCGAAATGCATGATCTTTTGGCGTAGCCTGATCCCCACAGCGGTCCTCGCATTACCGAGTAGTAGAGAAAAATTGAGTATTTCTGAATGAATTCAAGCGTGACGTCATCCATATTTTGAAGTCGATTAAGGTGGACTGTGGTCCTTACAACGGTGCTGGTATCCAGTGATACCGCTTTGAAGTCCCACCAATAACACACTGAAATCTTTATCCCATGCACATCTTCTTTTGGCTAAGCAATCTACTTTTCTGTTGAGAGATCCTGCAAGGGACATGTGCATGATGTACGCAAGGACTCCACCACTCGCTACCAACCACAAGATCTCACAAAAGTTCCTACGCTGTGTACAAGGAAAAGAAAACTCAGTCACGGTCATTCGGTATGACTTGTCAGACGGGTCCAACTCATGAGGCATCCTTCACAAAAAATTTTTCCGATAACCGAGATTGCGGAGAAGCATGGCAGTTGTCAGTCAGATGGAGCCTAGAGAGGTCGCCAACTTACCGGTGGTTACGTTCGGCTGCGCCTCAAGAAGCTTGAGTAAAGGGCCGTCATTCTGTGCTGATGGGCGACCTATACATTGCCCAACTACGAGTTAAATAAGTCCAGCTTAGAAGCGCTGATGCAAAAGCTACCCTCTGCATGGCAGAACCGCACAACATCCCCCCCCCCCCCCCCCCCCCCCCCCCCCCCCCCCCCCCCCCCCCCCCCCCCCCCCCCCCCCCCCCCCCCCCCCCCCCCCCCCCCCCCCCCCCCCCCCCCCCCCCCCCCCCCCCCCCCCCCCCCCCCCCCCCCCCCCCCCCCCCCCCCCCCCCCCCCCCCCCCCCCCCCCCCCCCCCCCCCCCACACACAACAACCACCCACAACCCGCCACCCACCCCCCCCCCACAGCCCCCCCCACACCACTAAAAAAGAAGCCAATAGATCAGAAAGAGAACAGAAAGAGATATAATAATCAAGAAAAGAAGGTGTAGATTCTTGACTACGGCGAAGTGCCCTACAGGAACTCATAATATGGGACAGGTCGAAAAGCACCTCGATCTCTGGGGGACTTTTAAGCTTTGAAAACTTCCTCAAAGTCATGATATACCCAAGTGCAGAA